AATGTGCGGGAGGCACAACATCACTACTTATCTGACTTACTGCCCTGCCCGCCCCCCCGACCCCCCGTAGACGGCGCCAGGGGGGGAGGAAGGGGGGGCGAGAATTAAGAGGCTTCCCTGAGAAAAAAAAAAAGTTTTTAGTCCTCTTTTATCCCCTTCCCCACTCCTCCACACCTTCCCGCTTTTATTCCTGTATCTTCAACCCCCTTTCCACCCCCCCTCCCAAAAAAATAAAAAAATAAAAAAATAATAATAATAAAATTCCCACAAAAAAATCGATCTCACCCATACCCACCATCCATTTACTCCTCCCCCCCCCTCAGGAATTTAACAACCAGTGTAGCCCTGCAGTAGAACAAAACACTCCCCCCACTGACGGAAGTGGAACCTCGCGTACACCAGACAGAGATGACCGGATGTGCAAGAGAAAACCTCTGCTTAGGGGGCGTGGCCCGTCTGACTTCACATCTCGGAAATGGCAAAACCAGCGAATGAGCAGTTTCCGTACCCGCAATGCCGACGACAAAGTAAGAAGGCTCTCTTATGGCAACCCATTTTCTCACTAATTTTACCTCTGAAAACAGGTGACCCCCACCTCCTTCATTCGCAAATACCTCAACTTGTATTCAAGATAAATGGACATTTTTTTCAACCAAATAAAGACAAGATAACAAGCTTCAATATGATACCAATAACCCTAGGGCAATGAAGGATACAATGTATAAAGTACCAGCAGAGGTATTTGGTAAAAATTCTAGCTACACCATGAACTATCGCGTTTTGCCTGGATACTGTTACATGTTCAACAACTGCTACATCCCAAACGACACTGGTTCATTCTTTTGTCTCAGATCTTCGGCAGATGGACGTTAAATTCGGAGGTCCCGTTTTTCTGAATCAACTGTACGATGTTGAAAAGGGCGTTAAACCAACGCATTAATTTTAGGGGGGAGTGTTTTTATTTTTAATAAGAGTTTCATGGCACTTGCAACACAAATAGGTCAATTAATTATACGTTCCGAAGATTAGAGGTGTTAATACTAGGGAGTAATATATAAAGAAAAGAAGCAAAAGAGAAAAAAAAGTGATAAAGAGTTTTGATAGAAATAAAGGATCAGACCCAAGGACCTTAAAAAAGTATTAAACCTCCTCGATGGAACCACACAAGAGCACTCACCAACCACCCGATTTTTGTTGTATCCTGCAGCTCGCTGTAATTGGCTACCCGTTCCAGTTCTGTTTGTCTCTGGCCCCGCCACCAGAAATCGGGGACTACGAAGAGGACTATGGGAAACCGCTCATCGTGCTCTCTACAGAACCTGCGGTGCCCACATTGGGCAGGTAAGCCCTTTATTCTCTCCCAACTTAAAAAAGAACAATACAACTCAAAAGAGTGAGATGATAAGCACACACACACACACACACACACACACACACACACACACACACACACACACACACACACACACACACACACACACACACACACACACACACACACACACACACACACACACACACATACACACACACAAACAAAGAGAGAGAGAGAGAGAGAGAGAGAGAGAGAGAGAGAGAGAGAGAGAGAGAGAGAGAGAGAGAGAGAGAGAGAGAGAGAGAGAGAGAGAGAGAGAAAGAAACACGCACACCCTCAATCTTATTTTTATGGGAGCACCCTGGAGGAGCTACTACGGTACTCTCGCAATCTCCAATCTTCGGCATTTTAATAACCTAATTCTATTGCAAATGTCGTAAAACGCCTACTAAAACAAACTCCCCTGTCCCCAGACCATACTCGTTATCCCAGTACCCAACAGCCAAGCACTTCATAGGAAGACACCGCTTCCTTCAGGAGAGATACGGCGACAGAACTTGTACGCAACCCTTCCTCCCTTTCCTGGTGAAGGAGGTATCTCCCGAGGTAGATGCCCTGAGGGATGTAGATCATCTGAGATGGCTGAGGAACCGTCGAGGATGGAAGCCAGGGAGACGACAGCAGCGCGGGGAGCGGAGACCTGTCCCGTAGGTGATTGTTTTACCTCCCCGGTGATGTTTAAGTCTGTCTGTCTCTGTCTCTGTCTCTGTCTCTGTCTCTGTCTCTGTCTCTGTCTCTGTCCTTGTCTCTGTCTCTGTCTCAGTCTCTGTCTCTGTCTCTGTCTCTGTCCTTGTCTCTGTCTCTGTCTCTGTTTCTGTCCCTGTTTCTGTCTATGTCTCTGTCTCTGTCTCTGTCTGTCTGTCTGTCTGTCTGTCTGTCTGTCTGTCTGTCTGTCTGTCTGTCTGCCTGTCTGTTCATCGTAGCAGAAAGACCAAGACACTCGATAAAAATATTCTTCCTTCTCGGGTCTCGTGCATACGACAGCTAAGAGATAGACCACTACTTCACAGACTCCGGTCTTAATTTGCTTTAGTTGGGAGTTAATTCTTGATTTCAAATACATGTGTTTGTTTCAATATTTCTACCCCAGGGAAAAACTATCTCCCCTAGATGGCCTGGAGCTCAATATGGCGCGTCCACGAGATGAAAAAGAGGAGGATGAGGAAGCGTTGAATAGCACAGGTCTTGGTGTGCCGAAGGTCAAGGCTGGGGCTGTACTGATTGAGGGAAAGGTCAAAGGTTGTGACCACAGGCGTGGGTGCGGTCGCCCAGTTGGATTTACACTGCTCAGGTGAGTATGGTTGTACGTGTGTGTGTGTGTGTGTGTGTGTGTGTGTGTGTGTATGTGTGTGTGTGTGTGTTTGTGTGTGTGTGTGTGTGTGTGTGTCTGTG